GGGGAGCGGGGCGGGCGGCGTGGGCGCAGCAGGGGGGGCTCCCGACGGTCGCGCCTTCGGTGCGCAGACGGACCGCCGCGACGACTTCTTGCGGGAGGTGAACACTCGTCTGAAGACGCTGGGTTGGTAGACGGCGGGGGCGGGACCCCACGGCGTCACGGCCGGGTGTTTTTTCTCTTTTTAGATATCGCCTTTATTTCACAACCGATGAGGTTCGACTTGGATTTGTTATGATGCGTCGATGGTTTTTTTTTTGGATTTTTTCTAGATGCACTTTTGATTTGATTTCTATTTCCATACCGCTTAATTATAGTAGTTCCACATATAGCACACGCACGCATATACGAAGTTTTTTTCTTTCAATAATGACCTCCACCATCAACCTTAGCGGCGTAGCCCTTCATGGGCACATGAAGGACGTTACGATGCTCAAGTTCAACCACGACGGCGACCTGCTCTTTTCCTCTTCTCGTGATACCGAGTGCAATGCGTGCTGCTGGTACGCAAAAACTGGGGAGTTGCTAGGCTCGTACACGACTGTGGGTCAGGGCAGTCAGCGCGCGTTTGATTCTGCGGTGGTCGCGCTTGACGTTAACCGATATTCCACCCTATTCGCAACCGCGAACGCTGGTGAGGAGACGATGCTCTGGAGTGTGGAGACCGGGGCGCTGCTCGGAACGATTAGTCGTGCCCTTTCCTCGGGATCTAGCGTCGGATTCTCGCACGATGACTCCTTGCTGATGGTGGCGACAAAGGGTCGCTCCGGCATGAAGTCCGCTATTCAGCTCTATAACCTGCCCTTTACGGTACCCCCAGTTGGGGAGGATATCGCGCCTGCTAAGACGACGTTTAACCCTACCAGCAGCTACGAAACGGATTCGCCTGAGTTGATCACCTGGGCGTCGTGGGGGCCGACGAACGACACCATCTACTTCTCCGAGGGTGCTTACATGCACATTTTGGATGTGGAAACAAATAAGGTGATTCGCTCTCGTGAAATCCACCCAGGCTATGTGATCAACCGCTTCAAGTTCGACTCTAATTACCTCACACTGGCGACGGCGTCTACGGATTGCACTGCCTGCCTCCTCGATCAGCGCGAGCTGAGCATTATGCAAACCTACCAAAGTGATGGACCCATCAACGACGTTTCTATCAGCCCGACTGCTGATCACGTCATCCTCGGTGGTGGTATTGATGCGGCGGCGGTGACGACGAAGGGCGGCCAGGCCAACTTCGAGGTGAAGTTTTTCCATCGCGTGCATGGTACGCAGCTCGGGCAGCTACGTTGCCATTTCGGTACGATCACGGCGATGACATTTCACCCTGACGGCCGGGGCTTCGCGAGCGCAAGTCATGATGGTTTAATTAAGATGTATCGCTTTGATGAAAACTACACTTCTGCCCCCGGGGGCGTCCCCTTGTGGTCGCTAAAATCTGAGGATGAATGAGAGAGAGGAGATTGGGGGTTGATACCGTATAGTTAGATGTTTAAGGATGGGTCTTTCTTTTGTTTCTTTCCTCTCGCGTGTATGACTTCAGTGGTGTATCCTTTCTCGGTTCTTTTGCTTCGCATTGCACGTAGGATGTTCAAAGCCTACTGATGCAATCGAAGGATTGGCGGGGTAAAGGGGTAAAGAGAGGTTGAATATGCAACAGATGACAGCAGCTGTTATCAGAATAATAATGAAGAGAACGACTGAGTTCTGAATTTAAGGTAATGAAATGCGTAATACATATATATATATATATATATAACCGGTCATTGAGTATTCTATTCCCACATGGAGTGCATTTCTATGAATATCAACCGTTTTCGCATGCATTTAAAGACATTTACGTTATCAATCCTTTTCCCTTCGTATTACATAAATTCAATTCAAAGAGTTCATTTTGGAATAGTGATCACGGGGAGCGCATCCCTTTAGCGGTTTACAACATCCCCTCTCACTTTCAATATTAGCAAGAGGGTTTCTACTACTGAGATAAGGACTAATTTTCACAAGCAGTCACGAGTTTTTCTCCTTAGACAGAAATTAACACTCGTCCATCTACTATTTAGTGTGTGGCCTTTTTACCTTTTGCCAGTTTCTTTATTATTATTATCGGCATGTCTCTTTTTCAAATGCGAGTTCCAAGTAGTTCTTCAGCACTACGACGCTTCCGGCTCCTGGTTCGAGCCCCCTCGTTTATCTTCGCTGAAGTAGGTTCTCAGTGCGGCTGCAAGGGTCTTTCTCGCCTCTTCGAAACAAGGCGGGCTGCCGCTAGTGTAGGGCACTCTTCTTCCCCCACCTTTTCCACATTTTGCAGGGATCATCGCCTGCGAGGGCGCTCGCGACGGGGCGTCGCTTTTACCAATCTCACCGCACCCCATCGCCGTCTATCAACCGTGCAGCTGGAGGATGAGGATACGACTTGGGCGCGCGCCATGGCGGAGTACTACGGCCCGGGCAACTATCAACTCTTCCGGCCGTTGTATAAAGATCTTTGCGATGAGATTCGGAATGAATTCGGTACGAAGCCCCCGCCCCCACTGCTGCCGGTGGTTTCTCTCCCGAAGCCCTCTTCGGTGTCTGCTCAAGGCGGCAACCACGGCACCAGTGCGAACAATCGGAGCACCGAAAAAGGGGGGGAGGGTCTTCTCCGCAAAGAAACCCCCGAGGAGGGTTGTGTGGGGATTAAACGAGGGCAAGAAACGAGCGGCGCTTCCCTCGAGGGGGCAGGGGAGGAGGGAGGGTCGAATCCCCCACGTGTGGAGGAGGCTCCTGTCTACGGCGATGGCAGCTGGTCGGTCGCGTACGATCCCGGCAACAATGTCGTTACCTTTCGCCGCGATGCGATCGAGGAAACGCGGCAGGGGCGCATCGTCGTCTACGCGCCGGTCGAGATCAAGGACCCACCCAAATTGAACGCGATCCTAACCTTTGTGGATTGGTACCCCTTCGAGGTGCTTCTCATGCGGAAAGGCGTGATTCTACACTTTTCGGTTGCGTGCAATGAGGGGGGCATGCATCTGAGGAACGTCCGCGCGTACGACGCGGCGGCGTCGCCTTTGTTGATGGAAAGCACCGATGACGCCGAATGGGTGCGGCGGAATTTATTTTACGACGGCCCCTGCCTATGGCATCTGGAGCTTGATTTTCATAACGAGCTGTATGACATCATGCAGGATCATGGGGTGGATTTAGATTGGGTGCGGTGGGCGTCGCGGTGGGTGTTCTACCTTGAGCACGTCAACTACACGCGGTGGAATCTTGGGATGCTGGAGGAGCTGATTCCGAGCGACCTACGTGGTCCAGAGGAGGATTTCTTGCTGGATAAGGAGAGGGCCGCCCTGGAGGAGCCGGTTGAAGAATCTTTATCTGGGCGTGGACTATAATAGCTCTAGAGGCATGGTGAAGGATCCATAATGAGGGGGAAAAAAGCAAAAATATAGGAGTGGATGTAAGGAAAAAGGGCTTGAGGAGTGGTGCAGGTGTTTTTGTTTTGCATGTAGGGGTGTAGTGAGTGGGTGTGTTGGAGAAGTGAATACAGGTGTGCTGAGATGTACGGTGGCGCGCTGGGTTCTATGCCAAGGTTATTATGCTTTCCTTCCCGAGGCTCGCTTGTTGTCGTTGACGTCAGTAGTGTGCCTCCTTTCCCCTATGGCTCCAAAAGAGGCTGAAAAGAATTATGGAGAGAAGTAAACGGGTAAGGATGAGTCGACTGCTGGACGAGAAAAGATGCTGTAGTTCTTTACAATTTTTTTCCCGAGAAAAATGCGTTTGGCTAAGCTAGCGTCTCTTCAACATGTTTTAACGTGGTGCTACGTGCCGTTTTTCCGAGATTGACAAAGAGAGGAGGAGAGAGTCGACATGGCTTTTGTTCTTGCTTGTAGGCTCAGCCAATTAGCTTAGCTCAAAGGTTACGACCGCCACGACATTATCATCCAATTCCATCTTTTTTCCTGATTCTCTCTACGTCGGATTGAAATAGTTTCCATACAATGGACCCCTTCAGCATCGGCATTTGCGCGGAAGATGCAGAGGCGGCTCGTGTGGTGGCCGCCGCGTTAGATGCCGGCTGCCGACCATTTTTCTACAATGCGAGGGGCACTTTTGTCGACATGCGATTTGTCCGACCTCGTAGGCCTACCGAGCATGTTGCCTCTGGTGAATCGTTTCCGCTGCTGTACGGCTGGATTGAGCGCGTGAGCGCCGACACCCTCGTTCAACTCGTGGAGCCAACGCCGCCAGCACGACGGCCTTTCTGGTTTGTAGGGGGCGTCGGTGCGGAGTTGCATGAAAGTCAGACCAGGGCTCCTACCTCCTCCAACGACGCGGGTGATTTTTCCACGTCCAGCGAAACGGGTGGGCGGGAAAGTGCGGGGCGCGTTGTCGGATCGTTGAGTTTTCTTTTGCATGTCGTGAGCACTCCAGCCCAGGAGCACGCACACGACATCGTGCTGCCTGATTCCGTGCAGGTTGATGAAGAGACTCATCGAGGAGACCTTCCCGATGCGGTCCACACGACTCATTCTACGAAGGGGCGTCTTCTTCCCTCGCCAAGAGGGGAGCCTTTAAAGAATGCCCTGGAGGAGGAGCAGGCCGCGATGGATCGCCGTGATGATCGTCAAGTTGTGCGCAACGCTGTCGAGACGGTACTGAACTACTCTCAGTTGATTACGGAGCATCCAGGATCTAGTGGATCGGTTTACGTGAATGAATCTACCGGATGGGAGTACATTAAGTTTGAATGATATGGGAGAGATTAAAAAACAACAGCAACCAGTACTTTTGCGCTACTGTTCGAGTACAGTACATGCACATACGCAGCCGTAGTGCGGAAAGTGCATGGATACACATCCATATATTGGCGTGAGGGACTTGCCTTACTCGCTTTTGCACTCCTTCCACATGTCGTTTGAGAAGGCGGAGCTATTATATATCAATGTGTGTTCATTTCCTTTTTATCATTACCATTATGATTACCACTCCCTTGTTCTATCGGTCTAGTACGGCGCGGTGCAACTTTGTTTTCTCCTTCCCTTACAGTCATCTATTCAAGTCTCATTTCCCATCTTCACACACAACAACAGCAACAACAACAACAACAAGCAAATCAGCACGCTCGCATCAAACATGACAGATTACAAAGTCAAGGACATCAGCCTCGCGGAGTGGGGGCGGAAGGCCATTGAGCTGGCGGAGAACGAAATGCCCGGCATGATGGAGCTCCGCCGCGAGTACGGCCATTCGCAGCCCCTGAAAGGCGCCAAGATCGCCGGCTGCCTGCACATGACGATCCAAACCGCGGTGTTGATCGAGACGCTCTGCGCCCTGGGCGCGGAGGTGCGCTGGAGCTCCTGCAACATCTTCTCCACCCAGGATAACGCCGCGGCGGCGGTCGCGAAGCGTGGGGTGGCGGTCTTCGCCTGGAAAGGCGAGACCGAGGAGGAGTACATCTGGTGCATCCGCCAAACCCTCAAGGGCTTCAGCGGGGATGGGCTGCCGAACCTCATCCTCGACGACGGGGGGGACCTCACGGACATCGTCCACGACGAGTACCCCGACCTCGTGCCGAAGATCGTCGGCCTTTCCGAGGAGACCACCACGGGCGTGATGAACCTCTACAAGCGGCAGCAAAAGGGCCGCCTCGCGATCCCGGCGATCAACGTCAACAACAGCGTCACGAAGAGCAAGTTTGACAACCTCTACGGCTGCCGGGAGTCGCTCGTGGATGGGATTAAGCGCGCGACGGATGTGATGATCGCGGGGAAGACGTGCTGCGTGTGCGGGTACGGCGACGTCGGGAAGGGCTGCGCGGCGGCGCTCCGGGCGTTCGGGGCGCGCGTGTTGGTCACGGAGATCGACCCGATCAACGCCCTGCAGGCGGCGATGGAGGGCTACCAGGTCGTCGTCCTCGACGACGTCGTGGAGGACATCCACATCTTCGTGACCTCGACTGGGAACGATGATATCGTCACCGCGGAGCACTTCATGCGGATGCGCGAGGACGCCATCGTGTGCAACATCGGCCACTTCAACACGGAGATCCAGGTCGAGTGGCTGGAGGCGAACGCGAACGAGCATGTGGAGATTAAGCCCCAGGTGGATCGCTATACGCTGTCGAACGGGCGCCACATTATTCTCCTCGCCAAGGGCCGTCTGGTGAACCTTGGCTGCGCAAGCGGCCACCCCTCTTTCGTGATGTCTAACTCCTTCACGAATCAAGTCCTTGCGCAGATCGAGCTCTGGACGAACCGTAACACGGATAAGTACCCGCGCGGTGAGAAGTCTAACGTCTACTTCCTGCCTAAGTCTCTCGACGAGAAGGTTGCCTCGCTGCACCTTGCGCACCTCGGCGCGAAGTTGACCAAGCTCACCCCGAAGCAGGCTGAGTATATTAACTGCCCCGTGGATGGACCCTTCAAGCCTGACCACTACCGCTACTAAGGGATTTAATATAGTTATTATTAATTTTATTAACATAAATTCTGTTGACTACTTTTTATGGAAGACGGGGAAATGAATATCTAACCCAAACTAAAAAAGTGATATTGTGCGTTTTTTCCCTTAATTTTCCCGGAGACAAGAGTGAAAGCTAAAATGACGAAGTAGAGAGATGGTGAAACATGTGTGCGTTGATCTCGACTTTTTAAGTATTCTTTTAATCGAAGCAACGTGGAGACTATAAATGCGATGGGATAAAATTGAAGAAGGACCCAACCGACACGCAAAGCGGGCTTTCGAAACCCTACGACCTCCTCATAAATCTATTGTTCTTTTTACTACTGCATTTTGATACCTGAAGTACCTGCTAAATGTATATCGATATATCTATATATACCTGTATATATAGATAAGTGTATATATACTAACTCTTCCGGACGGGAAATCATACACTAGAAGGGATTTCGTTCATTCTTTTTTTTTTTGCATGGTTAAGATTTCACATCATAATTAAATCAGGAAGGATGAAAAATCAAATAACACGATTATTATTAACTATTAAATTCCACTAAAGTATGACGATATTGAATTCTTCAATGAAAAATTATTTTGAACGGAGTTGAAGCAACAAAGTAGCAGAAAATCAGAGCATAGGTGATTAGCGTCACCTTGCTATAATTTTGTGTTCTTTTTATTGACCATATTCTACAAGAAATAGCAATCGAGTATGATACTTGATGATTTGTTACTTTTTTTATTATTATCTACCGCAAGTTAGGCACGATTAATTTTACTACTACGATTTTCCTTCAGGGTCTTTATACCCCTTCCCCTTTTTAAGCATCAAGAATAAGGAAGCTACACTTCACAAGGCCGAGATGTTAGATCTCATTTTCATGTATGTGATATTTTTCACTATCCTAGTCATAACGATAAGGGGAGCAGTTTATATAGTGAGTATAGGCTTCCTGAGGTTGATCATTGGTGCGATTATCGTTAGCATTCTACTTTCACTGACTCTTTCCAGCCTGGCCAACGTGATTCTCGTTTCGACGAGTTGTTCAACGAAGCGATACTCGCAGGGCGATGGGGCTCGGGATGATTCCTTGCCATATCATTTACTGGTGTTCCTGCAATATGCGTTGTTTGCATTGGCGCAGCCCACCCTGAGCGGTATTCTAATGCTCGCAATCATTATCTTTCTAGCCATGGCCGCATCGCAACTGACTTATCTTATTGAGGAGATTCAGGTACTGACGGATTGTCATACGGCCTTCGCGGATAGACCTCGCCAAGACCTCGCACAATTAGTACGGAACACCAAGGTTAAGTAAATATTAGGACCGGGTTGGGTACCTGAGGTAGGTATGTGTATGGGAGGGTAGGGGGAAAGGGCAAGGAAAGGGCGGGCTTGGACGTGATCTCCGACCCAAAGGCAACGTTGGGGATCCATTATTTTATGGTGATATCAGACAATTAGCTACGTTTATTTGATGCAGAGAAATATCTAGAAATAAAAGTGAATTCTTTTTTTTTCTTGCATTTGAGTAAGGAACTTTGCACAGTAGCGAAACAAAGCATATCAATCAACCATCTAGTTGAAAAATACCAACTGAAGAAACACCTAAAAACGTTGTCGCGGTGATGCCAAGCATAATAGAGCAACCGCAGTGCTTGCAGCCAGTCTGCTCATTTATAGAAGTATTTCGTTAATTTTAATACCCCTCTCATTCCCTCATACGTGGACTCAACGCAAGGAAACGGTGCGTGCACGAGCTGAATCCATTTCATAAACAAAAAACGTCTATCCACACCGCGATGTTTAGTTCGTTCCCATCGATCCCTGGCTTTATCGGTCCCTTTTCCCTTAAAACATTCCTACTTCGTTACTTTGGGGCGGAAGTTCACTTTGACGTCCCCCAGCAGCCGAGCCCCTCCCTTGCTCCTTCGCGTTCCACTCAAATCTATCTTAAAAGCACCGGGACCTTTGCGGTGATCGTGTACGTCTTGCGAGAGGCCACCCCGGTTTCACAGGAAGTTTCCCCGACCACGTCGTCCTCCCGAGAGGACTGGAGCCCCACCAGGGTTCGCCAACTCAGTCAAAACCCTTTCATCCAAGCCGTTCTCGAGCAGCCGTGGTGGGCTTCCCTGCTGAATGAGATCGGGCCGATGCCCGCGAGTTTTCTTCTTACGTTCTGCGCCCTTCTCGTCCAGTACGAACCTGATGGAGGGGGGTTGCAGGTCCTTGGGCCGCCCCTCTCCCGCTTTCTTCCAGGGAGGACGTGCTATGGGGGTAGAGGAGGGGGATGGCGAGGTCGCCCGTGCGAGGCCGATCCTTCGGTGGATTCCTTTAAAAAACGTCCTCGCCTTGAATCTTCCTTCAATGGGAGCGTTTCTGCATCCTCGAAGGGGATACCACGACGGGTTTCTTCAGAGGTTTGTGAGTTCAGCCGAGGGGATGCCGCGCGGGGGGTTCTCTTGGGGGAGTCTCCCACCACCTGCGGCGCGGGCGTTGTTCCCGATCGCTGGTTCGAGGAGCTTTGGCTTCGTCATCACCCCCGCAGCCGGGAGGCTCTTCTTTACTCCACCCTCCGACCGGCAGCACGGCGGCGGGCGATTCGGGAAAAACGGAATCGCCCAGCCGAGGATTCAGGGGAAGGGAGCGATCTCGCTTCGCCGATTTCCACGCGATCACGCAGGGAAGAGGGGAAAACGGGGGTGCCGTTGGTGGAGGTCCCGGATCCCGTGCTCGACGCCGTTTTCCCCCTTACTCTGCACCGCAAAGGAGGGAAGATGGGGGTAGGGGAGGGAGGGGCCTCTCCTCTCAGGCCGTGTGGTCTGCGGGAAGGGCTGCGTGGGGTCCTCCAGCAGCTTCTGACGCAATGCTGTCAGTTCGATCTCCGCGGCTCCGCGCTTCGCCACGGTGGCTTTTTGGAATCGCGCTTTCATCGTTGCGTGCAGGGTGGGATGGAGGTGCGGCCGACAGATGTGATGGCACCGGTGCCGCTTGTGGTAGCCTACCTTCGCGATCTCATCGGGCGTTTGACGTACACCCCCCCCCCGGGGTCGACCTCCCCCTCCCTTTCTCCCGCTTCTTTGAAGGGCTCGTTTTGGGGTGTCGACGCACGCCGCGCGGCGGTCGTTCTCGACGCGGTGTGTAGCGCCCTGCGCGATTGGTTGCGTTTTGGCAGGCGAGAGGTGTTCCCGCTTCACGCGTTTCTGGAGCGGGTCCCGGTCGGGTCGATCCCGTGGTTGCGATCGTTTTATACTTCCGTAAGGGACCTACCAGGCGAGGGTGCGTTGGTGTCGTCATCGTCGCCGCGCGCGCGACGCTCCATGTTACAGCAGCGGGTGTTTCTCCAGTTGATTCATTTTCTAACCCAACAAATCCTGCCCTACCTCATTTGCCGGACCTTTCATGTGACGTGGAGCCCGAAGCATGGCAGTTGCTTTGTGTTCATCCCCCACGCCGTGTGGGGGCGGTGGGTGCGGCGGGAGATCCGCAAACTCCGAACCCCCTCCCCGGCCTTGTCGCTGGAGCCTTTGCAGACGTGCTTGGCTTCGAACCCACGGCTGCAAGCCCTCTTGTCGGCCTCCCGACGGGATGCACGCGTCGTTTACGCCGCACTGCGGTTGCTCCCGGATCATAAAAAACTCCGCCCGATCGCGGTCATTCGCGAGGCCTCCGTTTGGTCGCTTCGGAAGCTCGCCTGCGGCGTGCCTTTCCCGTGCAGTCCATCGCAGTGCATGGCAAGGAGGCTCACCGAGCGCGTGGGATCGTTCGTGGGGGGCGCAAACCCGCCCGGTAAGGCGTATTTTACCCCAACAAATCGCAAGGGAGCTTCAAAAGATCCGGTGCTGCATCTCGCACTATGTTGTTTGAGATGTGGGCTGGCGGAGCGGCGCCGAGGGCGTGGCCGCGTGCATCCATCTTCGGGGGAGTATCAAGAAATTCGTAGCTTTGTTGAGTGGTTTCGCCACTACAACAACCAACCCCCGCCTGAACACGACCCATCGGATGCCAAGGAGGCTATGCAAGGGGATTCAAAGTCGTTTCCTCGGTCGTCCCCGGCGGTCATCACCGTGCTGCGTGGGGATGCGATCCGTTGCTATGATCGTCTCCCCCAGGAGGCCGCCTTACGGGCGGTTGACGAGTTATTAGCTCACGACTGGTACCACGTTCTTTGTTTGGAGGTTCTCAAGCCTGAAGCGGCCCTCCCCGCGTCGTCGACGCCTTTTTCCTCCACCTTTTCTCGTTCACCACTTTTCACGGCCTCGCAGGGGGCCCTTTTACACCCTCCGCCCCAGTATTCGCCACCTGGGCAGCTTCAACGCCAGGTTTGGCGCCCCACCCTTTCCGATTACGACTTTCGTCGTGGGGTGCTCCTCGATATCCCGCGAGGTTGGATTGTGATGGACGGGGATTCCCGACGAGGGGGTGCTTTCCATGGGAAAGGACGGGGAGGAACGAAGCCGATGGGACCCCCGGGGGTCGGGCATTTCACCCCCCCCACCCGGATCGACGGCCGCGTTGTGCGGGAAACGCTTCACGCGCACCTTCGCTCGCACCTCGTCGTGCTGGACGGCCACGCGTACGTCCAGCACGTCGGGCTCGCCCAAGGCTCCGCCGTGAGCATGTTGCTTTGCGATGTGCTCTTGGAAACGGTGGATGCCGGGTTGTCGAGGGTGCTGTGCGAGCACGAGGAGCCGTCGCTGCTGCTTCGTCGCGTGGATGACGTCTTGGTGCTGACGATGTCCCCCGTGGCGGCGGCGCGATGTGGGCGCGCGATGCGGGCCGGCTGGCCCGCCGTGGGGTACGCCTGTCAGCCCGCCAAACTCCTCCTCCGCGGCGGCGCGGGCGTGATCGCCTGGTGTGGGCTCCTCCTTCACCTTCCGACCGGGGAGCTGAGCGTGGAGTGGGCCCGTATGACGGCCTCGTTGCGGGCGATTGAGGCCACCACGCGGCCCGGCGCCGTCGCGCATCTCGTCCGCTTCACGCGGCGTCTGATGCGGGTGTTGCGGCAGCGCACCCCGTTGGCGGTGTTCTGTGGGCGTCTGAATCGCCCCGCGCGGGTGGTGCAGACGCTTTATGAGATGGGGCTGATCTGGTCCAGGCGGGTGCTCCGGCAGGTTCGCCGTGCGGTGCGTCGGGGGGAGTGGCGGCACGGCGGCCGACCCCTCCTCGCGCGGCCGCTCCAGGTCTACCTCCGCCTCGTGCGGCGGCTTTGCGCGCGGCTCGAGACCGGGCTCGTGCGGTGGAACTCAAGGAGTGGGATCCCCCCGGCGGCGGTGGAGCTGTGCTCCGTGCTCGCCCTTCATCGGGTCCTACGGAGTGAGCTCCGAGGGCTGTTGGCGAGGAGCCGCACCGCGCTCGCGCGCTCGCGCGATGCCGTCGTCCGATCCCCAGCGCGAGATGGGGGTGGAAAACTTCGAATCCAGCCAGATCGCATCCCATGGCGACGATCGCAGCGAATGCGCGAGCGCGGCGTGTGGTGGCGCCTCGCGTGGTTCGTCTCGCAACGTCTTAGCCGCCTCCTCAGGCGCGCGGCGATCACCAAAGAGGGGAGTCGTCCGGGAGAAAATCGTTGTGGGGAGGGGTCTTCCGCTGGCATGTCTGTAGTGCAATTGCTGATGGCCACCGGCCCCGAATCGATCTCATGCTGCGCGGCAGCGGCGGTCGAGCTGTAAAAGGAGGAATTCCAAGAGTAAGGGCACTTAACTCTGCATTTCGTTTTTTTAGTCTTTTTTAACTTCAGGAGGGAGGTTTACATTTTAACGGGATATACCGAAACCCTATCGTAGTTTCACACTGGCTCACGCCTTTCTGCTATTCGCGTGGGTTTCAGCACATCTTACAAATTTGCATATTTGCTAGTTGATATTGCTAACGCTGCGGGTGTTTTAATATTATGACTACGCTTGTAGATTCTTTGTCACGCTAATTCGGTAGATTTGAAGTTCTAGTTCCAGATGACAAAACTGATGGAGTTTTACATCTGATGAATAGATAAGAATTTATTCCAACAGAAGCGTTGCATTTTTCTTTTCGAGGGAAAAATAACACTAATAGGGGAGAGTCAAATCGCAACAGTTGTGGAGGAGATGAATGACCTTTTCCTATTTACTTATCTACTTAATATTATATTTCAGAAGGAGTTTAGGAAGGTAATAAAAAATGCCGATGAATGGTAGCGAAGGAAGCGCCATGGGAAGCTGGAAGGCCTCCAAGGCGCGTCGAAGTGGGAAAAATACTAGACCGAACGACTCTATCACTCAAAAGAGTAGTTCAAATGACAAGAAGCCGACGCTGGATAGGCGGAATTTAAGGCCCTTCGCGCTGGACAAGAGGACGTCTTCTTCGAAAAGCGTTTCCGGGCGCCCCACAAGGGGCGGCTCCGCTTTGCCTGAGCTGCAGAGGGCTTCTGGGGCGCCCGTTCTTGCCCGGGCGGCGATTGCGGCCTTGCCTGGTGTGCTGGCGTCCCGTGCTACGGGTAGCTGCACGCCGTCTTCGACGTCTTACCAGCGAAAAGGCAAAAATCCCCCCCCAAAAGGTTCCAAAGGCGCGGGGGTTCCGAAACGGCCAAAGGCGTCGGATAGGGGGTCCGTGGGATCGACCTCGAGGAAGTGGCGCGCGGCCAAGTCCGTTAGCACGCGATCCGCGGGTTCGATTCGGTCCCGGAAGCTCCCGAGCTCAACCATGTCCAAAACGCAAGTGTCCAAGCGAAAGTCCTCCTCGAAAGGGCTCAAAACCTTGCCAGGCACCAAACCCACGCGTGGGGGTCGCGGGGTCGCGAAGAGTATGGGGAAACGGTCTTCCCAGCGGTACCCGTCCTCGTCCACCGGGCGAGGGAGCAAAGCGGCCAGCCTTCATAGCTCCGTGCGTCAGTACTGGACGGCGCAGTTTGAGATCCTGGAGGAGGATCAATCCTCCCAGCGGCAGGCCATCCTCGTCGAGGAGGAGCTGGAGCGGGAGGGCTACACCCCTGTGTACAACGTGCTCGTCATGAATATGGTGCGGGTGTGCATCGAGCAGATCAATCGTCAGCAAAAGTTGCTCCGGGATACGTTTGATAAGCTTCAATCGGATGGGCTGTCCATCGGAAGTGACGATAGCATGGATGCGGTGCTGGAGAAGCTCCGGAGCCGGATGAGTAGCGATGGGGTCGCGGAGTTGCATCGTCTCCGGGCCGAAAAGGCGAGCCTGCGTGAGCAGTTGGACGCGAAGACGCTGGAGCTGGAGCTTAGGACCTCGGATTTAGAGGTGCTTCGGCAGAATGCGATTTGCACGGTGGCTCAAAAGGTGGCCCGTGTGGATGTGGATACCGAGAACCTCAAGGCCAAGGCGGAGAGGGTGCTGTTGGAAGCGACATTGGACGTGGAAGGGATGAAGAAGGAGCTTCTAAAGCGCATCGATATCGCCTCGGCGCACCTTCGGACACCACAGTATGGAACCGCTTTGCGTTCTATTCGGGTATTGGCGGAGCAGACGCAGAAGGAGGTACAACGACATCATGATTCTCTCACTGAGCTGATCTTGTCGATTGAAGCGAAGAGCAACCTTGCGAAATTTGTGAGTGCGACCATGCATAGTGGCATTCCTCCAGAGTATCGGAAAAAACTGCGGCAGATGAGCAATGATAAATTGTTGAACATCTTGGATGTTTTGAGTTTTCAAGAAGGTGTTGTAGATTGTATAGGGAAGGTACTTTACGCTCTGGAAGAATCTGAACATAAAACGGCTGTCATTTGATTTATTCTCCTTATCGATCGACCGAATTGATTTCCATCTCAAGGATATGTCCATTACTATTTTTTTCGCTTTAGAAGCCCACGGGCATCTATACATTACACTACAGGCGATATGAAACGCTCTTATGCTGATCAAATTCTGCCCATTTATAGGGAGGTAAAAAAAAAAACGGAACACAGTTTGGTTCTAGTTTTTCTGCTGGTCTCCTCCTTTAAGATTAGCTCGACATGTAAATTATTTAACCTATTATGGTTACTGTATAGAATACCAGCGAGCGAAGCGAAATTTTAGCTTTGCTTTCTCGCTTTTTGTTTAGACAAAAACTAGTACCTCTGATCGGGTGATTGCATCTGTATATGGGGACCGCAATATTCTTTTACAAAATGTTTACTACTGAAGTGCTAATGTCGTTTTTTCGTAAAAAAAAACAGGAATTACTTTTCTCATGTAAAAAATTTCTCTTTCTTATTTAAGAGGAAAAGGAAGACTTTACAGTGTTTAAATTAGCGTTAACGCACACAAACTAAAACAGTGGAAAATTTAAGTGAAAATATATTATTTGATCAACGTAAATACTGTTTTGAAGGAGGGCACACTAGGGTTTAGTTTCCAAATCTTTCCACCGTCTTTATGTTTTGAGCCTTCGACGTGTGTGGGATCCTGTGAAGGCCGGAAGGGAGTGTGAAATATTGATATTTCACTATTCAAGTGGCTATAGAGTGCATGAAAAAGGCTCTTACTTTCGTGTTTGTTATCTAACACTTCAAGATTGTGATCAGGGAAGAGGGTGAGGCTTTTGTGTTTGAAAACACTACTATGCCGAGGAAACTACAACCAATTAAATCACAGGAGACCAATGTTGTCGGTAAGTCGACGCGTTTAAAGGAGCCTAGCCTTGTGGCCACTAAAAAACGCTCAAGCAAAGCACATTCTTCCAGTACCTCTCCTGCGCTTTGGAAAGTCCGTCCACCCCTAGTCCCCAAGAAAGTCTCCACAAAGGTCTTGAAGTTAAGTGATTCTTCGCAAACGTCGGCTGAGGCATTGCTTAACGTAGATCAGGATCTCAAACACGGTAGGGAGTTGCCACGGGCGGCTAAAGCGAGTTCAACCATCTCCCATAACGAACCTAACAGTTGTCGTGATTCGAAGCGCTGGTCGGACGACTTACCTTTATCCGTAAGGGGAATGGCGCAGAATTTTCCCGGATTACAACCCTCCCTAACTCCAGGGGAGGTGGAGGAGCAGAAAGAGGTTGAGAGGGCACTAAGAGGGCAGGAGGCGCGCCTTCTGAATCCCCAAGACAGCGCGACGATGCCTCTTCCAACAGGACCCTTGAAGGCGGAGGGGAAGAACTCCAAGAGGAGGAGTATACCTCAGAAGGGCACCGCCGCGGCCTCGGGTGGGGGTTTTACCACTTCTCACACGACAAGCTCCTCTTCCGATCATTCGATACCGTGTGAAGTGATTTCAGGAGTCGTGGCTTCAGGGGCAGCGCGGCGGGATTGCCGTTTGGAAGGTAGCGAGTTAAACGGCTCTAGGCTTCTTGAAGCGTTGCCCAAGTGGCTCGTGGAGGAAATAATCAAGGCCGGGGAGCGTGCTAAATTCACGAGCGCCGAGCGGGTGCCCCGCGAGCCCGGCAGCCTCTGGTTGGAGCACGTATTACGTCAAGCCATCCGCGTTATCGCGGAGCTTTTGCTCGAGCTGCGCGATCGAAATACCGCCGCCGCTTTTTCAACGGCGGCGAGCGCTCCGGTCGTCGTCGACGACGCGGTGGGACGCTCCCCGTTGCGGGAATTCTGCCTGTGGCTGTCTGGGCAAATGGGTGTTGGGATGGGGCTGCCGTCGCGATTTTCTTCGATGTCGCTCACCCCACCCCATCGCGAAATGTCAACTTCAGGGGAGGAGAGGGGGATCCAAATGGCCTTCGAAGGGCATAAGCGTGGTCGTAGTGAAGGCAATGGGGACGGGAATGCCCTGGGGGATTCGCTCTTATCTGTTTTGTCACGTGCGCGGGTAGACTTCGGCGGTTTAATACCTGGCTCTGGGTATAGTCCACTATCCAAACACGAATCTTGTCTTCACATGATGGAAGAACTGGAGGGAGGTTCAGTTGGGGTCACGCAAAGGGGAAAAAGCAACAACCACCCTGTCGTTGACGTTCCGTCCGGAGTGTCGTCGTCTACGTATGAAGATGACACGATAAAGAGTAATTTTTCCCCTGAGAAGCTTCCGGAAAAGCGTAAATCCCAAAAAAGTACTAAGAAAGGGAAGCACAGTGCCTCGAATGATATCCCGAATCGTGATACCGCTAGACTTAATGGGAGTGCAAATAGCGCACTACCGGGGGTGCCTTTTTCCACAGGGCTCGAGATACGTGGAGATGAGCCTGGTATTCCGCGCACAGCGTTGGGCTTCCTCAGTGTCTCCTGGAACGGCTCGATAGGAGTGGATACTCTATTCGAATCAGACGCGATTTGTCGTGGCGGAGGCCATGATAGAGTCCTTGAAATGCCTGCATGTTGTGCACAAGTGATGGCAAAAACGCTCTTGGGAGAATGGGAGGCTGCCGGGACGAGGCAAGAAGATCCCAAGCTACCATTAGGGCCCACAGACTTGGTTGCGGAGGGGGAGGTGGGTCAACCGAAGCCGGTGGGCCTTTCCGATACCCGTTCTCAGGAACTCCCTCAAGGGGCCAGTGGGATGGCGTGCCTCTGCGATATTCCCGAATCCAACCTTTCAGGGCCACCTCCCCATTCCAGGCTTCTTCCACAAAGAGAGGTTCAAGGGGAGTCGGGTGCTGTATTGGGCTCCGCAGGAGCGACACCGACGCCCACCTTATCTTTGTTTACCGCTCACCGCATTCGACCCCTCTGCACGTTTCCCATTCGCGCACTGGATGGCTTTACCGCGTTGGATGCAAACTCCTTTCTGGCGCACACACGCGCGGCGGGCAAGCACATCTCGTTTCGCGAACACCAGAGAACCAAAGCGACCCCCAAAGGGCTCACGTTGAGCCCGTTGGGATGTCTGGCCTCACAAACCCAAGACAGGGCGACGGTGCGGGAGGATATGGTGAAGGGGCTGCTGCTAACGCTCTCTTCGGATCAGCTCTTTGGGGATACCCTCTACACCGGGGTGAGCGTGTTGCAGGAGGTATTAAGAGAGCAGAGGCAGTACGTAGGGGGGATTGGCCCGCAGGGGCAGGATTCTGGCGGTGGCGCAGCCCCTTTTTTTGGGGAAGACGACGGCTTTGGGAAGTCGCTGTTGGCCTTTCCTAGAGAGGTGCCACAGGGTCTGTTGCCCGTCTCCGGCGTGGCCCTCCAGCGAGCGCATCGTCGCATCAACGCTGTCAGGGGCGGCTTCTCCATGGGCGATCCTGACGCGGCGTCCATGGGATCGAAACCAGCGCGATACGCGACGCTTTGTGGGGGCATTCCTCTTGCACCGTCCATCGATATCGAGCACACGTACCAATGCCGTAGCTCATTCATACCTCAATTAGCCCCTCCTGCGGTTGATGGGGATGCCCCGGGGGAGTCGGATGGGAGTCATCTCATTCGGGTGGATGGCAGGGACGATGCAGAAAAAGGTGGGGTGGCTGTGGGGGCCTCTAGGACCTTGACGGTGGAGCGGCGTTGCCGTACGACTTCGTCGTCATCCCTCCCTCTCATTGCGTTCAACCCCGACGGGGACCTGCACCAGCCTTCCTATCGGCGTTTATATTCACCGAATATCAAAGATGGTGTTGGTAGCGAGGGTGTGGATGCGGTAGTTACGGAAGTGAATCGATCGGATAAGGCTATTCCTGCATCCAAGGTAAAAACTGAGCGCCGTACTCAACGCGTTTCGGATGGTTGCGTGGAAGCCAAACAGGAGTTCTCGCCTACTTTTGCCGTTCCGTGCAAAAGCACTGGAGAGCCTTGGCCTAATCAAAGAAGTCCTTCCGTTCCCATGGATATCGATAGCGTGCTTCGCCGTGGGGAGGACTGCATTAAGCGTATTCCCATGCCAGATGTCGAGTGGCGATATGGCCCTTTTGGTTAACCTCTAAAAGGGAATAAGCTCAAAGGGATGTGGAAGGGGTGAGCGTCGCTTGCTTTTCATTCAAGACGTTCTGTTGTCTCCTAGAATGGAGTGTGTGAAGATTGTCATTCTTCTATTCTGGCGTGTGAATCCTTTATAGGCGAATTTTGCTCATTGAAACTAAGTTCTTTCATCGTTTAACTTTCGCCAATTTGCTATTTCCTTTGTTGTCATCTTTTTTTCAATATCAGCGCGTAAAGGAATCGATGAATGACGTTCGAGCCTTTAACAATTTCTTTTAAATGGACAGTATTCTTTGAACAGAAATATTTTGTTGCTCTGCAATCTTTGTTTTCTACGTTTTATTGATTACTCCCCCTTTATAATATGTATTTAATTGAAAATGCATTAACCAACAAGTGAATATCCAACCAAACTGTGCTCGCCCTGAAGTACCACTGCCAACAGCATCACTTTTTTTATCTTCAATTTTCTCCTTATGCGAAGTACTCATGTTTAAAAGGAGAGCGCTGAATGCATTCTGTTAATAAATATACTTATATGTTATCATGCGTCAATATGTTCCATTGAATAAACGAGAGAAGCTCCTTGAGTCTTCTGAGCCTGTTATCACGTTTGGAGCACGTGATGAGGGTCGTTTGCAGCATCAGCTTGATGTAGCTACGTTACAGACTCTCGAAATGCTGAAAAAGCAACAAACAAAGCTCCAGAAAGAGCTCAAAACAGCATCTAACCATGTTGATATTAGACTCAAGAAAATCTTTGCCGGGAGAAACTCCAACCTGCTTGATGAGGTTAATTCTCAGAGAACACAGACCTTTGCACCAGAAATTAGAAAAGGGAACGCCGCGTCCCCTTCGCCACGACGCCAGCTAGCACGGAGTCCCGCCCCACAGAGGGGGGACGCTCCACTCAAGGCGAAGGTGAATTCGGGCTCCAGGGTATCCCCGAGGCACTCCACTACCACACGTCTTTCAGTTTTTCCTGTGGCCTTTGAGGAGTCGGAGTTTAGCTCCTCGATTCGCTGGGCGGAGGTTGCCTTCACAGAGGCGAGCGTGGCTGCCTTGGGTCCTGGAGCAAGCGCAGAAGGGCCCTGCCGTGGGGACTTCCCCAATCCTCTCATGGCTAGTGTGGCTTGCTATATCTTAAATGAGGTGCTGAAGAGAGATTCGAACATGCGGGGGTTGTGGGCTCTGCTTCGAGATACGATCTTTGATAGCATCTACAGTCCCCTCAGGATTGGTGGTGAGGTTCAGGGTTGCGACGCTCAGGAACAAGGCGGAAACGGAGGTGAAACTCTCACTGCAACAAACAGCGATATCTCTAAAGGGAGGGTGTTGACCTATCCACAGCGAAAGGCTACCTATGAAACGTTGTTTGACTTTTCCAACTACTGTCTCTGGATCCAAGAGATTGTGGCTTTACAACGCAAGAACGACGTCCCCTGGCAGCGCATTCAGGAGCTTAAGTCTTCATTGAAGGGAAGTGTCCATGTTTTAGAGTTAGTACGACGCCGAGCCGATAATTCGTGGTTACAGAAGGTGTTTTTAGCATGGCATCGTTATACCCAGCATGCGCATAGGTTTCGAAAAGCTTCCATGATGTTAATCTTAAATAGCATGCGGCGGCGCGTTGAGGGACAGTGCTTCCTGCGCTGGCGTCGCGCCACGTTACATGGCAAGCTGGAAAAGCTCTATAGTCTTCTTTCTGAGCATAAACGTGACGCTCGCATGAACGAACAGGCCCACCTCAACACAATTCTTCAGCTCCGTAACCAGTTGTCTGCGGTGACTGACGCGAAGCGGTTAATGCAGGCCGAGTTGGAGGATCAGCTGTTGGGCGTGAAGGAGAGCCACAGCTTGTCAGAGAAGGCTCTCCGTGCAGCCTACAAGCGCTCCGTCAAATACGCAGAACGATATAAGAAACACGCACGCCGGTGGGAGCGCTTGGCCAAGACATTCCGACCAACGGAGCCCTGCCCGCGCGTTCCCAAGTCTCTCTTCGCTCTTAGCGTTTCTCTTACTAAATATGAAGGCGAGCTGTCGAAGCCGTACCAAATCAGCACCTTCCGCATCGATCTTGCCCGTAAAGAGCTTTCGAAGTTTTTATTGTGCTGGGTGAACATGGTGATGCGTGCGTCTCCGCGGGGGAAGGTGTGGATTCCAAGGGAGCATATTGCAAGCAGTAGTCGAGTCCAGGGTGACGGTACGGCGTCATGCGATGTCGCTATAAAATCCAAAACATTAAACGAAGCCGCATTGTTGTGTCTTGTGCGCGAACTACGGCGTCTCCAGGAAGCAGGGAATGAGTTTGACAGGCAGGAATGTAGCGAGTTCAACGACACGTTTCGGAGTTCCACTTTATTAGGCACCGGCGACATCGCTGACGAAATGACCACTGCATTGGAGGAGGCCTATCAGGTGCTATACACGTACACGTCCGAGGGTCTTTACCCTTGTCTGCTGATGCATTGCCCGCGCTTTTTCTTTCAACATCGTACAAAAGACACGTCAACGCAAAGTTCCGCAAAGAATCGTCAGCTTGATGAGTTTGTATACACTTTATCAGTGCTCTGGCTCCTTGCGGCACTATTCACGGGCTACGTCCGTTTTCATTATGGCATTGAGGCGTTCTTGCCATGCAAATGTCCACAATACCTTCGCTGTGCCAATGAGAAAAAGCTGCAGCGATCCGCCAGACAATCCCTGGGCGTGCCGTCCGTTTCCTCTCTTACTGAGCTCCCCAACAACAGTGTAACGTGTTCACTTGTGCCCCTAGTAAAGGACGACAACGCAGCAGGGGGGAATGGTACCGCCAACGGTGAGGGCGGTGATCGGGAGCATCAAAAAGGGTCCCCGGAGGCCTCGTTGGCCGCGGACCTCGCGGCGGCCACTGATCTCACCACCAGCATGAGAGCGCTCAGTACCTCCTCCTTTTTAGTACCTCGCAACCCTGCCTACGTGTATGCGTTTCGTGGCGATGACATCGGCGATACAAACTCGGATATTGACGTGTACACAGGACGCGAGGATGCGAATCTGCCGCCCAGCGACTGGGAGAAGGACGTGGATGGGATTTTGAACGACCTCGTGCGCGATGAGGAGCATGAAATGCGCAAGCGTCGGCGGCTGCGTCGGAAGGAGGAGGAACATGAGGCGCAGATGCAGGCCTCATCGGAAAGCCCTCTTCCGCACGTGAGCGTGGAAGGGGTCGACATGAGTGAGGGCCGTAACTTGGAAGTTTCTCATTCTAAAAGGAAGTCTGCGTTTCAGAAGGAATATAAAACCATGCCTAATAAGTTCTCGAACGAAAAATGCAGCTCGCGCGGTGCTTCGCTCGAAGCAGCCTCGGTGGATTCTCAGGATTCCTTGCCTCCTTTACACAATGGCTCTGAACAGGATGACAAGTCCGCTAGTGAAGCAAGCACGACATCGGAGGACGAGTTGATGGATACCGACAGTGATGACGAGGTCGCCACCATGTCTCTTCAGGGCAATCAGCGCGGTAGTAAGGGGCTTTTTGGGGGACCTCATGACAGCCTCGAGGTTGTTCGACGACAATTTTTGACAAAAGTGCCGCTCCCGAGTTCGGTCTTCAGCGTACACACCGGCAAGAAAAGCCGGAATAAGAATTCGAATCGCGGCGTCCTGCTGTTGCAATCGCCCGGTGAGCGCACGGAAGCGCGTCGGCTGGAGCGGGCAAAAAATGGGGGCTTGCATGCCTTCGTTGAGCGCACCTTGGTGGATCGGGACCGACGGCAGAGGTGGTTTGGGATGGCTCGCGTTGTCGTCTCGCTTATTACGCGTTTGCGCCTGCTAGACATTAATATGAAGACGAAGACTGCCAAGATTAGTTCGGCAGAGCGATCGAGTAACTCATATGATAGACCGGAGAGCAGCAAGAAATCCCGATCTAAGCATAACTCTGAGGCTCGCATTTCTGTTTCTCGGCGCACCAAAGTGAGTTCCACTAGTCTTAACACTGTTTCATCAAAACCCATCCTGCGGATCGCCCCGGGTGGTGAGGTGACTACAGGTACCAAGCCATCTTACCCGAATCTGCAATGTCAGAAGAAAAGAAATCCTCGTATCAAGGGGGAAGGGGACTCAACACAGCCGATGATAGACCAAAACAAAGGCGCAGGTAACCCAGCAGAGGTTTGCGCACCCCAGAAACGACCACACGTTGTGGATCCATCCGCAGAGGCGGTGATGGGGGAAGATACATTTTTTGATGACTCGAACGTCAGCCGAGGTGATTACGCACTAAGCACTGTCATGATGAAAGGTGGAGGAGGAGAAGGAGGAGGGAGGAGTTTGGGTGCCTCACCTTCTCTAAATCCAGTTAACAGCTTTCCGCCAGTTTCGACAAGCCAAACCGCCCGCCGCGTACTCGCACCCGACGCCCACGCCGACGTCAACGGAGGCATTACCACACGGGCTTCAATGTGGTCACTACCTCCTACGTTTCCTCGAGGCCCTTTGGATCCTATGATAATTCGTCCCGAGGTACCCTATAAAGGTCCTAGATGTAAGATGCTTTATCGTTTTGACCTTCAGGATAAGGAAAGATAGCCTTTGGTGCTGCATTTTTTTTTGTTAATCTCTTTGGCAAAGCTATCGGGTCTTTTTCTTCCTTTCACTCTACGCGTATATATATATATATATATACGCGATAGTTAAACGTTTTTTGGGGTCAACTTCCCTTTATGA